TGGGGTGGATGGGGTTGGGGGGTGCCCGGCTCAGAGGGGCTGGGCTCGGAGCTGGGGGTCAGGGCTGTGGGGTGGATGGGGTTGGGGGGTGCCCGGCTCAGAGGGGCTGGGCTCGAAGCTGGGGGCCAGGGCTGTGGGGGATGGGGTCGGGGGGTGCCCAGCCCCGGCCCCTTACCATGCCGTTTACCCCCTCTCCCAGGAGCCTCCGACATACTTGTGGGGCAGGGGGAGCCTCCGACACACTCATGGGGACCCCTGCGGGGCCCGGGGCCTGGGGCAAATTGTCCCACTTGCTCCCCCCCCCCGGGTGGCCCTGAACTCAGATACCGGGCATGACAGAGGCTGGGGCAGGGAGAGGGAGAGGGGGGCACTGGGGCAGCTCAGCTGTGCAGGCTGCCGTCCTTTCCAGCCACCCACGCACAAGGGGAGCAGGAGCAGTAGAGTGACCAGATGTCCCGATTTTATAGGGACAATCCTGATTTTTGGGTCTTTTTCTTATATAGGCTCCTATTACCCCCCACCCCCATCCCGATTTTTCACACTTGCTGTCTGGTCACCCTAAGGAGCAGGGACCAGCCAAGGACCAAGGGGGCAGGAGCACAGGCGCCTGAGGCCGAGCTGTGGGGAAGCGCTTACCTTGCCCAAGGCATGGGCGTCAGGGTCCTCTTTCTTCCTCCGCTCCACCAGACCGCCACCCGAGGCTCTTTTCTTCTCCGTGCCCCCCTGCTGGGGCTGACCGTGGAGGCTGAGCCAGGAGGCAGCCGCCAGTTTCCTCCGAAAGCCCTGCTGTCGTGCCCGTCGCCGGGCTCGTGCCACGTGCGCTAAGCGGAGCTGCGGAGCTCTGCCCAGCCGCCGGTGCCCCCGCCGGCAATGACAAGAATCGCATGGGATGGAGCGGCCGCTGCGCTGGGAGGGAGAGGGAGTCTGAGCCGCACACCATGTCAGCGCGCCGCCGGCAGCCCAGAGGAACGCTGTAAGAAAATTGGGGGCACCGCTTTTTGGTGCCCCCAAATCTTGGCGCCCTAGGCAACCGCCTAGTTGGCCTTAATGGTAGCACCGGCCCTGATGATGTGGCCATGAGATGAGGCGGGATGCCCACTGTGAAAAAATTATCTAATCTAATCTATCTATCTATCTAATATACATGGGAGAAGATCATATCCAGCATCTATGGGCCACATTCTAGATTGCACATATATCCAAAGTAGCTTCACTGACATGGGTGGAATTATTCCAGATTTGCACTGCGATCAGATTCAAATTTTATACCTAGATGCAATCTAAATAGGACATATGAGAAAGAGAGAGCAAAGGAAAGACTATATAGCTATAGGACTGATAAGATGTTATCATCTCATCACTTAGAACAGCACCTGCTGCAAATCTTTTCACACTTGCCCCAATGCACAATAGCAGATAAGCTAATATTTTGTGTCACTTTCCTAAAGGAAAGCTACATTGCAGGTGAAAGCAAAATTGTCCCCTCGCTGCTTCTCATGTCTTCTGTCTTAAATAGAACCTGACATCTGTTATGATAAAAATCAAGGCACAGTATAAAAGCTCCTAAACTCTATACTTTTGTGGGAGTATGGTTCAAGTACAGATTTTAAAGCACCCACATGGGTGTAGGAAGATATTTCTGCTAT